TATTCTATTCTATTCTATTCTATTCTATCGGAGTTACAATCTAGTACCTTCAGACAATTGTTAATTTGGGTCAGTTTCTATACATTTCATTACATTTCAAATGCCTCGACTTAAAACGATTGTTTGAAGGTAACAGAGTGTAACTCCGATATCTGCTATTCAGGGCTCAGCTAACTCAGATTTTATTGCAATTGAATTTGATTAACAATATTTTTTATCTTTCTAATCTAGTTCCAGTGGCAGATCTGGATGGAACATTTGATATAGATCCTGATGCTAAAAGAAGTGGTAAGATTATCATCTTGGTTTTTTTCCTTTTTCCTTCCATTTCCCTTTCTCTTATTTTAATTCTATTACTTCCTCAGAACCTCCCACCCCAGTCCACATCAAACCTCAACTAGCGCGTTCTGCATCCAAGATTCGTGGTTTGAAAACACAAGACTTGAATGACAGTGGTATTGATCCACTGGAGACCTCCCTGAACCGAACTGTTCCTCTGGCTCCAGTAACGAGTAGTGGTTATGGTGCTGTACCAGACCTATTCCAGCCCCCTAAAGACTCCCTCAAACAGGTTCACGATCAGGTATCCAAGAGATCACACAGAATGTACCCTGTAAGCAGTGACAGTGATGACAGCTCATTCTACACGTACTCACCACAGGATTCTTCTAATGGCTCCATCAGGTCTCCTGAAGAAGAAGGTGAAACATCACCTGTCAAAGCATCTCCTTTCAGTGGAAAACCACGTATGGCGACGCCAGTACACTCGAGAAGAATTCACTCAGGCCATGGATCTACAGCAGTAGCGGCACTGAACTCGCCATCTGTTCCTAGGGATGCTAGTGATACTGATGGTTTAGGAGTCAAAGGCCATAAGATATTCTCTAAAGACATCGGTGGAAAGCACTCGTCCTTGATTTCTCAGGACATTCGTAGCGAGACACCAAATAAAACGTCTGGTATGGGCAGTAGTATCTCTAGTGAAGACGAAGTGAGTAACATGAGGGAGGTCTCTGTCGTTGGACAAGGGATTCTTAACACAGAAAAGACAAGGGCTGACTCTATCGATGGGAAAGATGGCACAGCAAAGACAAGGAACGGCAAGTTAGAGTACGAACCAGAAGATGAAGAGGAAGAAGAAGAGGATGAGGAAGAAGAAGAAGAAGAGGCAGAAGACGGAGATGAAGACGAGGACGAAGAAGGCGAGGAAGAGGAAGAAGACGATGACGATGACTCTGGGACTGTAAAAGCCGAAAGTAATGGAAAAGCAAACAGTGATGAAGAAGAAGAGGATAAAGTGAAGAAAGACGAAGAAGACATAATAGATGACGAGGTGGATGAAAGCGAGGAAAGCAGCGACAGCGATTCTGATTCAGAGGAAAAGAAAACTAATGAACATAAAATGCAACGTGATATGACACCCAGAACAATGCGAAAAAGTCTTTCCAAGTCGACAAGAGAACGCATGCAAAGAAAAAAACAATTGGAGGAAGAAAGGCTCTTGAAAGAACAACAGAAGGCGGAAAGCCTGGAACGTGAGAAAATGAAGGTGGTTCAGATGAATAAAGACAAGGAAGAGCATCTGAGAATAAAGATTAAAAAAGAACRGCAAGAACTTGAAAGGATGCTACAAAAGAAAGAGAAAGAAAGAGAAATGGAAAAGCAAAAACAAAAACAACTTCAAGAGCAGCTCTTACTGCAAGAGAAGGCATTGACTGAACGACTACAGAAGCAACAGGAAGAACTGGAGGAAATCGAGAAAGAAAAACAGAGAGAGAAAGAGAAGGAAAAGGAAAGGTTAAGAGAAAGAATGAGGCAGAAGCAACTGAAGATTCAAAAAGAAAAAGAACAGTCAGAACTGCTCCAGGCAGAGAAAGAAAGAGAAGACGACAAGGCGAAGCTGCAACTGAGAAAGGAGAATGAACTGAAAAGGAAGCTGGAAGTTGAAGAAGCGGAAAAACGAAAAAGACAACAGCAAGCAGCAAGAGACATGAAAGAAACGCTCGAAGATAAAGGTGAGTAGTTTGGCGTAGTTTGGCTGCGCCGGGGAATAAAGCGATATGACTGCAGCGATGATAATAAGCGTTGTATTTTATTTCATTCAGAACAAGGTTTGAGTATTACTGGTTCAAGTACGCCCTTAAAACATCCACTGGGGAGAACACCAAGGAAGAAGATACCGGTGTCATCATCGTAAGTATCCCCTGATTGATCACTACTCGTGATATTGAATGGTATTAGTTTCATCATCATCATCATCACATCGACATCATCGTCTTCCTTACACTCGAATATGCACGTTATTGTTAACATCATTGTTACCGTCGTCATCTCTAATCATCATCATCATTATCAACGTCATCCTTGCGTCAGATATACACGTTCATTAATACCCTATTTAAAGTTGATTTGTCATTGTAACCATCATGACGATTATAAGTCACCTCCGTATCATAAATATTAGCATCGTTATTAATCATCATCATCACCATCATTAATTATTAGCAATTCTAATCATCATCACATTGTCACCTTCATCCTTAAGATAAGTGTTTTATTTTAATAGTGCGCATTCTGATCGGGATGACTCATATGCTACGACAGACGACCCACAAGACAACCGACGACATCTTTCAGCAACATCATCCAGCTCATCAGCAGCAATCTGGGAAGTCAAACTAGAAGATCTACAACCGTTTCCTAATAGCGATACTGCTGTCAAGAATGCTCTCAAGTATCTCGCCAACACAGAAGACTGGTATGTGGTTTGTTTGTTCGTTGATATATTTTCGAGACCCCGTTATTCGACCCTTGCTTTGTGAGAAGTCCCTACCAGATCCTTGAAAACATCTTGTAAAAGAAGTAGGGAAAAAAATCGCTTCAGCAATATTAATGTATTGTATGTATGGTGTTTCTAGGGAACAGAAATGTGAAGGTTTACAGCACATAAGAAGACTATCCAAGCACCATCCAGACACACTAGGTCCTCAGTTACATGCTGTTACACTGGCTGTCATTGCCGAGGTATTTCACTTTAGTTGCTCAATACATTTTCGATGAACCTTGTCATTGTAGGATAATTTCTCAACCACAATTCCAAATAGATGTTTTAGCATACTTCTTTTATAACTCAATCGATCACGGCACGGTGACGGTACGGGTACAAGGAATCTTCTAAATCCTTTGAATCAGTCGCAGCTGTGCGTGCGAGATCTCATCAGTGCCTATCACAGCTTTGCGGTCTGTACCGTGATTACTCCATGTTATGTTTACCTGTTTATGTTACCTTGTGCTAATGTTCGATATTTCCATATTCAAACACAAGGTCAAGAATCTACGTTCGCAAGTAAGCAGAGCTGCAATCTGTTGTCTTGGTGACATGTTTACTTGTTTTGGAAGACAAATGGATACAGTAAGTTGTTTACTGTCGTCTCTACTGTGTCAAGTTATACTTTACCGAGGAGATGAATCACCTATAACGTTGGTCTGGTTTGATTCACAGGATCTTGAAGTCTCGTGTAAAATCCTTATCACCAAGAGTGGCGAGACTAGTGGGTTCATAAGAGATGATGTGGACAAGGCTATGTTATCTATGGTACACAACGTCACACCCACCCGTGCTTTGGTAGCCATAACATCTATTGGTTGTGGGTACGTCAATCTCTACCACATACAATAGTTATTATCAACTTGACAACATTTACTTTACGACTCGTGAATGCGGTGCAACATGGGATATTGTGGGTAAACCTTATACATCCCATAGTGCATTATACGCCATCATAAATTAAAGCGATTTTTAAAATGCTACAGCTAAAGATGCGGGAGCCTTCTTTCGCATGGGGACATCAAACCCGCAGGTTCACTAGCTCGGTTCATAGTTAACAGAGAGAACTGGTTCCCTCTTTTAACTATGCGCGGGTCAAACACTCATTTTTCACCATTTTTGATGTGTTCGTTGTCAGACATCGCAGTGCAGCAGTTCGTAAAACATCAGCTAGTTTCCTGAGTGTGGTTGCAGAGAAGATAGGAGCCAATCGATTGATGAGTGGAGCTAAAGATGTTACTGACAGGATCCTTCCTGCAGCAGYCCAGTTTGCTACTGATGGCGGCCCGGAGACCAGGTAATTAATTAATCACCCTTCTCCACCACTTTCTTACCCTCTTCTTCCCTCTTCTCTACACTTATATCAAGTCAAAGTCATGAGTCTTTCTCCTAGGTTGATGCAAGCCATGTTGGTTCTCTATTGGCAGGGGCTGGCGAGGAGTGTGTGGGGGGGTTAACCCGTGGATATTGCGAGAAACTCTAAAGATGAACGTGTGTACCGACACCTCACTACGCTCTTTTTTATTGGTGCAAAGTAGTTTTCTATTTTCGTAGTTCATTTTCTGAAGCTGGTTTCCTAGAGCATTTTTTGTTTTTGTTTTTGTAGATATTATGGAAGAAAAATCCTCTACATAATACACGAACATCCAGAGTTCGAAAAACTCCTCAGCAAACACGTGGCAGCCAATTCACTGCGTCAAGTTCGAGATATCGTGGACAATCTGAAAACTAAGGTAAGAGAAAGACTTTAGGAGAACTGAGGAAGATTACAGGCTGTACATGTATTAATATCGTTACTATATATTACAGGGTCTTGGTGATCCACCTAGTGATCATACCTCAGCACGTCAACGTAAGAACCCAACCGGAAGTGGTTTCAACTCCCGTAACGGAAGTGGCGGTAGTAGTAAGAGTTTCTCTAGAACTAGTAATGATTCTAGCTCACAGTCAAGTGCGGTTAACTCGCCAGTGACCTCAAGGTATTGTCAGTCTCAATCACCTTTTTTTATCTTGTCTTGTCTGATATTTGTCAAACTAACAAGAGGTCTTTTCTTGCAGGGAATCTTCTCGCAGTGGAAAGTCAGCAACTCGTGATCTTGCTATTAACGTAAGATCTTCCTATATATTATACATTGAACAACTTGCTCATGGTGATACTGATGGATAGTAATGATGATGGCGATTTTTTTTTCATATTGCATATTAGGGCGAAGAGTTTATTCCCGAGGTAGTGACTCTACTTTCTGCAAATGACTGGAAAGAACGTGTACAAGGGCTGGACCTGATTGTAGAACTCGCTGATAGAAATCCACAAGGGATGGGCTCCAAATTCACCAAGGTAACTTCAAGTATAAACCCCATTTCTTTTAATAGAGGATCGTAAAAAGAAACCCATTTTTCGCCATTACATGTCAGTAATTGGCGTCATGGGATGTGATGGGTATAGTCTTGAATATAATCTTTGTATCCAAGATGGTATTCATTGTAATATGGTTTTGTCTGTCTCTACAGGTGTTTGATAGTTTTATACCACGTCTTACAGACTCCAACAGCAAGGTAGGAAGCATATTATCAACCTGACTCAAACCCAATCAGCATTCGAAGCAGTGCATCATGCTGATTGGGAGTCAAAATCTTGGTTTATAACTGCGGTCAGCAATCTCGAAGTAAAAGATGCCATCTACGAAGATTTGTCAACTCTTTTTTCTTTCTTTGATCCAGGTCAATCTCTACGCTTTACAGTGTCTGCCACGTATCATCCCATCACTGGCCATCCAATCAGGAGCTCTTGTTCCTCCTATTGTAGCAGCTCTTACGAGCAACTTAGCATCCAAGAACCCTAGTATTCTCACAACAGCTGACGAGGCATTAACGGTCTTAACCAAACATATAGGTAAGCCATCGAGTTTCTTTTCATCTCACGTCAGTGTGTCTAATGTTAATCTCATTAATCTTTTTTCAGATCATATATCTTTGGTACAACCATTCTGTACTACATCACAGTATGGCAACACTCGAGTCAAACCGGTCATCCTTGACAAGCTGTGCTGTAAGTACAAAACACCATTTCATTTGTTGGAACCAAATAAACACTAGTTAACAAATATTGAGGATCACCACCTTAGAATTTAGTTTTCAATCGATGAGTAGTTTTCTTAGTCGTATAAAACAACTCGGAATCCCTTCAGGAATTGAGGTAGGTGGGGAGAGTTTCGTTAGATTTGCATTGTTGCGAAGAGTAGAGAGCGCTTCTACTTGCGGTGGTGGTAGGTATTAGGAACAACGTTGCACAACGACTTGCGCAACTTTGCTGCCCTTATTACTTCATCTTTAAGACGATCTTTTCTTTTCAGTGGTGATTGAAGGAGTTTATTCGCGTAAACCACAGTTGATCCAGCGATATGTTGTTCCACTGATCTGGCAACTGCTAGGCTCTGCTTCTACTGGAAGTGCAGGATCAGGGACAAGTGATATCAAGAATGCTACAGTTAAGCTTACTACTCTAGTGTATTCTTGTATGGGAAAAGCGTTGTTGGATCAATCATCAACACAAGTACCTAGGATACGTGAAAAACTCCTAGAGATAACAGGAGCAGAATTTTAAACATTCTGTTCAATGCTAATTTAGCTACACGTTTATCAGTCTAATCTAGTCTAAGCTAAGAACATTGCATGTTGTGAACATGAAGAGCGTAACGCCAAGTTATCGAACGAGTACGACGTGAAGAAATGTAACAAGTATGACACGAAGTAGAGTGCTTACCATATATCCGTTAAAAAGTTAACCAACACAATTGTACAAATTAGTGCAAAATTTTGTAGGTCTACGGACTACTGAGGTCTACTGGACTTATTTTCAGATATATGGTATGACTATTGGAACGACCTAGTAATATATAAGAAAGTAATAGAACGTGTTAATAGGAGTTAATTTTAATATATTTCATGTTATATGCATGACGTTCCTTTCAGGAGTAATATATAGTCACTTGCTCAATTCTAACACATTGTGTTAGCAGTATGGCAAGTTTGGGTACATTCCGTTTGAAGCAAAATAGTGGTTCATATAGGACAATTAAATAGATTTATTTCCCAAATCTAATGCATGTATTTTTAGGAGTAATATATAGTCACTTGCTCAATTCTAACACATTGTGTTAGCAGTATGGCAAGTTTGGGTACATTCCGTTTGAAGCAAAATAGTGGTTCATATAGGACATTTAAATAGATTTATTTCCCAAATCTAATGCATGTATTTTGGGAGTGCTACAGGCAATATGGACCAACAGGCCACAAGGTTGCACGCAGTCCCATATATTGCCTTCGTACATTATCAAAGCAATATGTTGATCTTAAAAATGCATGATTAATGCTATTGAAAACTGCCGCGTTTTTGGCATGTAACTTATCTTTCGGAATTGATTWTTTTTTTTTGTAAAATAGTTTAAAAGCTGCAAATGCTTTAATTTAAATTAAGGGTTTCTGTAAATAGAAAAATTTAGCGTGAATATGAACTAAATGTGTGATCAATAAACATGGATTGTTACTTATCGTTTTCACTTGTAATTTACAATGCGGTCTTAAATACCTCCAAAGGCTAGTTCTGTCTTCTGCTTTGCACCTCTCATGCTGAGCCACAAATGTTGGATCCAGAAGGCTCAGTGGGGTGTTTAACAGTTATTCACCAAAGCGAAGTAAATATTGTGGAATATTTACTGAGCCCCTAGTCTTCAAGTGCCGTATTCCATATATTCACTGAGCCTTATTGTTTTAGTATAATTTTAAACTTGAATATCAGAGCAATTTCAGGCAAACTTTGGAAAACCTCATAATCGCCACTCCAGCAGTGATTATCGTCTCATAATCACTGGTCGCTCAACCAATCACAGCACACGAAACTCTATATTCACGTCTAAAATTATACTAAAAGAACATACCACTAGAAACCATCAGAAAATTGTGTATGTTTCCCTCTCAAGTACCTTTTCTTCTACAGCGTATGTATTCCTTTTGATTGTCAAGCAAGTTACAYGATTCAAAGAAAAAATGTATAAGCAAAAAGTTATGTAATATTGTATTTTCAAAATTTTGCTCCTGAGCCACTGAATGTTGTAGATCTAGTACACAGTACGTCACTAGTTTCTGAAACGTCATGTTTAACAATTAATGCTGCATTTACTTCTAGTCTGTGTTGCCACCAGTCTGCCGTGTTGTACAACCACATCAGACAACTGAGCAACACAGGCTACTTCTCTTCTTTTTACTTTGAAATGTTTCAAGTCAAAAAAAAGGAAAAAAAAGCTGGGTTTGTTACAGCCAAAGGTATAGTTATGTATGTGTACATAACTACTCCAGTGTAAAAGTATTATGCCAGCTATGACATGAATCTAGAAACATACAGAAATCCATCACAAGTTGTGTTGGCAACATATATAGTGTTTGATGATAATACATCTCTAGCCAGTATCAATCATTATGTATCAATCATTATGCATCCAGCAATGTCACGTTTGAGTACATATTACCCTAACCAGCGAGGCTTGATCTAACATTGAACACACTGTCATAATTATAGCATTTTATTAGCAAGCAAAAGTTTCATTGTCAATGCAATGAGTATTGATAGGTAGGTCTTAACGAGCTGATATTGAATCACTTACAATCATCTTATATCCACTCTTAGATTAGTGGTTAGCAACTGATTCCACAAAGGAGCGAAAACTACGACCCATGGAATCAGTCTATTAGCAATCATGCCGAGGTATTACAACGTGTGTTGTTTGATAGCTTCAAGATTCAGGTGCATCCATAAGATGATCACATGCTTGAGACTGACTAAAACGTATAATATAGGATATCATTTGAATTACCCTATACATGTACAGAGTACTGTACTGTGCTTTAACAGATGATGTCTGTATAGTACATATACATTGTCGATGTGTGCCGGTTAGGTCATACCATGTACACTATTTACCCTATACCATAATAGATGATGTCTGCAGTGGTATGATAGACGGTATAGGTGAAAATACTATGAAAGCACATTTAAGATGTTAGTAGGTGTCAGTAAGAGTACCAGGTACCATATGGTGTACTGCAACAGACTGCAT